ATCCAATGCGTCGAGGCTTCCGTCATATAACTTGTCGCACATCAGCATATCAGCACTCGGTACTCCCATTCCTAGCACGCTACCTCACGTGTTGAGAAGGGGAAATTGAGAAGTTGAAAGCTGATCTGTCTCCATAGTAGATGCGGATAGCGTGTTAAGCTTTAATTTTGAGTATTACATGATCTCTCTCTCTCTCTTCATTTACGATGTAATTGTTTTACGATGTCTGATGTCTGTTACGCCAGGCGCACTGAGTGGCGTCGATATTGTGACTGTCCCGAGAGTCTCACCTACTTCTAATGTAAGATAGGCAATAGTCAGCGTGCGCGGCGGCGAACTGAGGCCGTGCAGAGAACTGTAGCCTGCTGTAGCGCCTCTAAGCAACCTAAAGACCTGCGTTGCCCGGATGTGACCAGTGGAGAATCGATGCTGGAAGACTCAGTCTAACCTATCACCTATACTACTGTACTTTATTCTCACATCTCCTGTACTGACAATACCAAATACTTTTACTATTGCTAGCATCAGCAGTACTACAACATTATTTCTATCAATAGTAACTTAGTACTAACTCAGTCAGTACTAACTCAAACAGTCCTGCTATTTGCTCCTTATTGTCCTTCGTTGAACTATTGTCCTAGTAGTAGTTATTAGTATTATGACACGCAGCCGAGTCCCTTAGCGTTGACGCAAGCTTCTCCATCTAATGCCTTTAACACTCCATGGAGATCCCCCGCTGAAAGGTAAATTGTGTACTTGTTATTGTTTTTTCCTTCTCCTTCTTGTTTCCTTTCTTGCTCTCTCCTTATCTGTTTCATTTCCTTTTTCCGTATACAAGCTGCTCTGCAATGCTCATATTCTACTTGTTTTCCTTTTCAGCACTGCGCCCATCCCATCTCAGCCGAACGATCAGCTAGACGGTGGCCCGTTGCTGGTGGTGGGGGAGAGGAGTCGAGCCTTAGCGCATTTATTTCTCATTATAGACAATGTGATGCGTTTTAAGCTATCGCGGTGCGCTAAAAGCCGTGGCTTGGAGGTTTGCCAACTGACGGGATAACTTGGACACTGCAGTCGGCCCCGCGTGTCTTGTTGTCTGGGGTGACTTAATGCGGGCTGAGAGTCAGGCTCAATGGCTCCTTCTTAATGTGGCCTTCATGGCGTTCCCAGGCAAGAGCCTACCTAGCGAAGTGTGCTGTTGGTCGCGTAAGCCGCCTGCGCCCTTCCCCATCTCCGGTCTTCTTGTCTTTTTTGTCTTGACACCGGGCCCGGTGTGGGAGTGGTGAGAGTGGGGCAGATTCTCCGCGAGTATACTTTCACTATAATCCTGCGGAAGTAACCGCGTTGCTTCAGCCTGCTTAGGCTCGTAATGGACATCGTCGAAATCGACGGTCGAACTGTCGTGTGTGTGTGTGTGTGTGTGTGTGTGACTACGATTAACAATGCAACCCTGTCAGACCTGTCCATAAGGTAGAACAGTCAAATGTCACTGGAAACAACTTTAACAAGGAAGCAGAGCACATGTTTGCTCAAAACCAACAGAAAAAGTGGACGGTTATATAGTTTGCGCATACTGTAGTCGACATCACTCGCGAGAACCTCGAATCTGCCGCGTAGTCCGGCATAATGTGCCTGTATCTGCTGATGTGAAACCCCGTACAGAGACCGCGTGCTCGCAGGACAACCAGGATGCTTCACACAAATAACCAGGAGATGATGAAAAAACTATCTGTTCTGCCTATTGCTTATTACTCAGCTGCTGATACAGTTGTAGGATATACCAAGGCTAGTTGATTATGGAGATTGCTCTCCTATTAGACAAGAGGCGTCAAACGTTAGCCTGAAAACGGCAAATGGCACCATGCGGCATAAGAACATTGTAGAACTCAAGGCATTACCTAATAACGTTTCGTTAACCAGTAAGATTACACAGCCTGATGGATAGAGTGGAGAGGGCGTTGGTAAGTTTTTAAGTACAAAGGTAAAAAAATTGAGAACAATTCACGTAACCCAGGTCAAACAAAGCATCTGGATGCGACGAGGTCAGGAATAGACTGTGTTAAAAACCAAGACATCAAGTAAGGAGCTTTTTAAGACGATTCACGTTTTCGCCAATGTGGCTGTAGACGAAATCAACATTCCTCCAATTTCTCGAAGTTAGAGAGCCTTTTGAGTTATAAAACAAGACTAGGATACTTGGCCAATTAGTAACTGCTATCATAACTAGAGAAATGCAAGGCTGGGTGCGTAGATGATTGAGAATCGGCATAATTTACCCGTCCGGAAGCAGGAACAGCCGGGACAGAAAAATTATTTACTTCAGTAATTTGAGCCTGTGTTTCCGGTGGGGTGCTGATTACATTCGGAAGTTAAAATTGCCGTCACAAGTCGGTGCATCATGGATAGAAGTAGTTAAGAGTTCGGAAGGCCATACATACACAAAGTAGGTTGCCAAACTCATGCAATCCCACGATTTTTACAAGTAACACCCTCTTACTCAAACGCAGCCCAAGCTGTGGCC